CCCCTCGCTGCCCTTCGTGGCCCCGGTGCTGCCCTCAGCGGCCCCGTCGCTGCCCTCTGTGGCCTCGGATTTTAAGTTCTTCGTGGCCCGCGCTGGCTTTTCTCACGATTTACTTGGGAATCGCGCTATCGCTAGAGACTTCCTCGCGATTCACGCAGGACCCATGCTTCAGCAACCCGCCTGCTCGACCTCGTCGCCTGGGCCTGCCTTCCCGACCTGCCCGCTATGGGTCTGCCCACCCGATCTGCCCGTCTAGTTCTACCACTTGTTTTCTGCTCCTTGCCCCCCTCCTGCTAATTTCTCTCGTGCTCCATTCTCTGTCCTCCCCTTACACCCGTTCTCTCGTCCCTTGTTTGAGGGACTGCAGTAAATACACGTGGCAGGTAAGGAAGATATACCCCCAAGGGGGTACGATCGAAGACGCGAGTACCGAGGGTTTGGGATATACGTATTGATTGGCACGTGAGCAGATAGGAGCGAACAGTCTTAAAATGATTGCTGTTGTTGTTGTTGTTGTTGTTGTTGTGGTTGTTGTGGTTGTTGTGGTTGTTGTGGTTGTTGTTGTTGTTGTTGCTGCTGCTGCTGTTGTTGTTGTTGTTGTTGTTGTTGTTGTTGTTGTTGTTGAATTTTCATTTCTGAAGAATAATTATTGTTGATCCCCCCACCGGTGCATATGGCTTTTTCTCAATCAAAGTGTGCCCCTCGACGCTCGCACCCTGTTTTTTGACAGGGAAAGTCTTCCTGCTCAAACTCGGCCCCTGGCCCCTGGGTTACAACAACAACGGCTCCCGCCTGAGACTTCCCCCGCTTCCGCCCGAGACTTCCTCGCATTTTATTCAGGAATCGCGCTCTCGCTTGGGACTTCCTTACAATTTATTAAGGAATTGCTCTCCCGGCGCTCTGGAGTCGCGCTCTCGCTGGAGACTTGCTTGCAGCTTACTGAAGAATTGCCTTGCGTTGGAATTTCCTGCAATTTGCCCAAGCGCCGCGCTCCCGACACCCAGGCACCCAGGAATCGCGCCCGTTGTGGCCCCATGTGCATGCCCTTCGTGGCCCCGCTGTCGCCATTTGTGTCCCCCTCACTGTCCTACGTGGCCCAGCTGCTACCGTCAGTGGCCCATAGTTGCCTTCTGTGGCCCCGCATTATCTGCATTTCGTGGCCCCCGCTTGTTCGCACTCTTCGTGGCCCCATACGCATTCCCTTCGTGTCACCGCTGTCGCCCTTCGTGGCCTACTTCGTGCCCTTCGTGGCCCTGCTGTCGTTCTCTCTCGCTCTCGCTTTCGCTCGTCGTCGCCGTCGTCGTCGTCGTCGTCGTCGTCGTGGTCGGTCCCCTGTCCGTCCCTCTTGGGGTCGGGTCGACGGTCCGCGGCCGCCCCGCCGATCAGCGCTGCCACTGGCCAGGCCGACGGTCCGCGGCCGCCCCGCCGCTTGCCGGGGCCCTGCCTGCAGGGAAGAAAGGTATACCCCCCAAAAGGGGTTCGATCGAAGACGAAAAGGGTGGGTATCGAGGGTTTGGGAAATACGCGTTATTGGACACTCGAGCATATAAGGACGATCAGTCTTAAAATTGTTGTTGTTGTTGTTGTTGTTGTTGTTGTTGTTGTTGTTGTTGTTGTTGTTGTTGTGGTTGTTGTGGTTGTTGTTGTTGTTGTTGTTGTTGTTTATGCTATTGCATGCTAATCACTAAGGAGTTCTTATTGTTGGACCCCTTACAGGCGCCCTCGCGCTCTCGCCTCGGCGCCGGCAGCATTTCCATTGAAAATGAGGCTCATGCTCCAGCGGCTTGGGGGGGCGCCACAATTGGCCCCCCCAAAAACAACAACGCTCACGCTCGAGACTTCCGTTTTTACTCAGGGTTGGTGCTCTTGCTCGCCGCCGAAAGCCGCCGTCCCAACAAAGCGCTCCCGCTCGAGACTTCCTCCCGTTTTACCTTGGACTGGCGCGCTACTCTTTCTCTCATCGGCGCCGCCCCCAGCAAAAACAACGCTCCCGCCCGAGACCTCTTCATTTTATTAGTCAAGGCGGTGCTCCTCTTTGCCGCCGAAAACCGCCGTCCCGACAGAACCAGCGCTTCCTCTCGGAACCTGCTTCCGTTTTATTGGGGGCTGGCGCGATACTTCTTCTCTCATCGGCGCCGTCCCCAGCAAAAGCAGCGCTCCCGCTCGAGACCTCTTCATTGTTTAACTCAAGGCGGTGCTCGTCCTCGCCGCCGAAATCCGCCGTCCCGACAAAACAAGTGCTCCCGCTCGAGACGTCCTCCCGTTTTACGCTGGACTGGCGCCCAACTCTCTTTTGAATTGGCACAGCTCCCAGCCAGAACAAAGCTCCCGCTCGAGGCTTCCTCCTTTTTTCCTCAGGACGGTACTGTTCCTCGCCGCCGACAGCCCCCGTCCCGACAGTACCACGTCTCCCGCTCGAGGCTTTCTCCCTTCTTACTCGAGGCGGTGTTCCTCCTCGCCGCCGAAAACCGCCGTCTCAACAAAACTAGTGTTCCTGCTCGGGACTTCGTTTTGTTTTACGCTGGACTAGCGGCCCTACTCTCTTCAGCATTGGCGCCGCTCCCAGCAACAACAGCGGCCCTGCTCGAGACTTCCTCCTTTCTATTTAGGGCCAAGTCCTTGCCTCGCCGCCGACAGCTCCCATCCCCACCAAGGCAATTGCTGCTCGATACTTCCTTGTGCTTTACCCTTGGCTGGGGCGCCACTGGCGGTCTCGCATCGGCGCAGCAAGGCGCAGGCATGTGTTTTCGAGGCGGGATATGTTGAAATTCCTAGGAGGAGGTGTTTGCAAGACCTCATTGGGCGGGAGATCTGGGAATGGGAATAAAAGACCCCGCTGTAGAACAAGAGTCCCCCATGATGGGGATGGTTACCGTGATGGTCGCATGCTTCGTGTGGAAACATCGCGCATGGTAAAATGATTATTGTTGAACATTATTAATTCTAAAGAATAATTATTGTTGGGCCCCCTGGTGCGCGCCCCCCCCGCCGCGCCTAGGCCGCAGCCACGTTTTCATCATTTTCGTGAGGAAGCCTCAGGTAATTCGAGGTGATCAAGATCCGGTTGTTTTGTTGTAATCCGTTTTCCCTTGCAAAAAACACTATAAAATGACATTTCTTGTTCTAATATAATCAAATTTCAAGAATCCCTTGCAAAAAATAAGGTAAAGTGGACATTCGCGCGCGCAAGACGAAATCCTTCCAAAAGCTTAGTGTTCGGAGCGATTTTAACATAAAAACATCAAAAAACCAATGGTTTTTCAACAAAAAAAATGTCAAAATCTCATCCCGCGCGCTCTTGCGGATTCGTAGGAAACCCAACACTTTTTAAACATTTCTGTCAAACGGGCTTTTGCGAGCAACTTTTTCGAACTTCTGCGACAACGGTTGCGCACCTGCCAGGGCCATCATCCCTGTCAAATAATACCATGCGGGACACATTCGTTTTTTCTTCGCGCGCGCACGCCGTCGTCGTCGGCCGCGGGGCCCTGAATAGTAGCCACGGTCGTCCGCATGCCACGAAGTGAAGTGTCCGAACGTCATAGGGCGGGAAGCTGGGTGTGGGTGGTGGCGAAGAGTCGTTTGGAAATTTGGTAGAGCTTGAACCGGCCCCCCCACAAAGTGGGGGTATTGCCCGCCTCCTATGAAAACCCTGGCACTGGTGAGAACGGAGTGTCCCCAGTCTTAAATGATTGTTGTTGTTGTTGTTGCTGTTGAACGTTAATCTTTAAGGGGTAATTATTGTTGGACCCCCCCCGCGCCTCGACGCTCTCGCTCCGGCGCCGGCTACATTTTCACTGAAAATGATGAGGCTCACGCTCGAGCGGTTGGGGGGGCGCCAAAACCAGCCTCAACAACAACAACGCTCCCGCTGGATACTTCGTCCTTTTTTTCTCAGGGCTGGTGCTCTTGCTCGCCGCCGAAAGCCGCCGTCCCAACAAAACCAGCG